CATGATGTGTGAATCACATCAAAAGGTCGTCATGCATAAAAGAGGGCTGTTGGACCCCCCTGGGTCCCCTCCATGAGGTCACCTGCCTCCTTGATCCAATCCTTAAGTCCTGGGTGTCTGCAGGGGAAAGCCGATGCTAGCCTGATCTAAGCAGGCCTGATCCATGCTGAGCTGTTACCCAGCTTCTTTCACTTAAAGTGGAGAATGCACAAAATAACATCAGCACAGATTGTGCCCAATAGATGCATATGCTTAAAATCTCACCCTGTGTGTGTCTGTTTGCTTGTTTAGACTTTATTTTGATATCATCGGGAATTCAAGATAGGGGTTTAATGCCACAATCCTAAATAGGATTAAAGCATCAGTAAAAGAATGCTCAGTACTATAATAAAAATAAAAATAAAAATAATTGAATGGATGAAGGGAGGTTGTACAATATATTATAAAGGAACTTGGAATAGCTGTGAGTAGAGCAGATTATTTGTTAATGTTATAATGTAATATAATGTGAGAAAAATATTTTTAGAAGACTATGAAATGCAAAGTATTTAATATTTGTTGTTTGTTATTTAAATACATCCTGTTTGCAATATTTGTACTGTACATGAACTATTTTTAATTCTTAGACTGTATAAGGAAGGCATTGATTGCATGAAATCATATGATGCTGCATATAAAGAAACTATTTATTACTTAACAAAACTAATAGATATTTTCTTGCTTTATTGAGCTTGGAGTATTCTGAGGTGCTTTTTACAGGTTTCAAGTCGTTCTCAAATCAGCATAGTGTCTCCATTATTCCAGAGGCTGACAAAAATCTTAAGGTTCCTTCTAAGTGAAATTCATTTATTGGCCACTTGGTGACATAACTTGATCTCTTTTTCTCCGGGCAAACATTCTTTAAAGAACAACAATGGTTGTGGTTGCAGAGTATGGATATGTCCAGTAGGTGTCTCTTCCTAACCATATAATAATCCCTGAAATGCCTATTTCACTCAGTAGGGCAGAAAAATAGCCTTTTCAACATTTTTGCTGTCTTCCTGAACAACTGCTTACATAAGAAGCTTAGGAAAAGACAATATGATGCTTAGAATACTATCTGACCAGCTCATTGCTCCACAGTACATTTTCTTGTCATTTCTTAAGCCCACATGTATGGAAGAGCCTAGCAGAATTTAACTGCATTGTTTTATAATTCTCTAGTCCTACAACACTACAACACCCCACCATCCCTGACCATTGACCAAAGGTTCCGACTTTGAGCCTGGGCAGTTCCTAACATCATAGTATAACTTGCATTTGTCTCTCAAGGAATGCTCAGGGTGGTTCATAAAGGGCAATGCTGATGAAAAAATAACAATATCCAATAAATGTGCATAAAAGGATCAGCATCCAGTTGCCTGATGGCTCCACAGAGCAATAGGCTGCCTTGGGAAAGCCACAGTGGATTCATGGTAAAGGCTGGACTTCTAGAGCCTTTCGTAGGACAGGAGGATGCATAGCTGGTGCACACATTTGCTGATAACACATCTATGGTGACACCTTAAGCATTTGTGAAGTAAAGGGGGAAAACTGCACCCGTAATGTTCAGCTTGCATACCCATGATGCAAATTGCTTTGCTCCAGCCTCACTGGTTGGTGAATGTGCTGGAAATGTTTCTGCAAATGACTTTCTTGGACAGTTTCATTTTTAGAGGCAGGTCTATTCCTACAGTCACACAAAGGTGGGGTAGTCCTCCCATCCCAGGGCTCTTGTTCATTTCTAGAACTTGCTGCTTCCACAGACACAGAATGATGATATAATGAAACTTGGTTATTTATTATAGAACTGGATAGATGCTTTACAGCTTAATTAGCTATCAATTAGCTAGCTAGAGTTGCTGTGTTTTTCAGGTTAAATTTCAAGAACGTTTAGATTTGGAAGGAAAAATTAAAATATCTGAGTTCAAACAGGTAGAAGGAAATTTATCAGTGTGTTATAATTATTTCTACACACTGCTGGGATCATGACCTAGTCCTTTTTCTTGCTTACTTTGTCTATGGTACTGAATTTCTTGCTTTAAACATTGACCACGTAATCCTGCCTACTGGATCCTATCTACTGAGTGCTGACACAACAAAAACCTGTGACTCCCTCCAGAAACATTTGTGCTTAAGTTGCATTGAAATCAATAGGACAAACTAGTTGTAACCATGTTAAGTCCCATCATTTCAGTTTCTCCTGGACTAGGGTAAACGGATGAATACAAAGCACCAATCCCTGTTCTCTTGTCAGATGTCAGTAGTGGCCAGTTAATAGTTTCATGTTATTGTTAATTATGGTTTTCAAGTACATAATGACCAAGTACACGATGCTGCTAACTGATTGAATAGAGGATAAGCTATCTCTCTAGAACTGCAGCTGTGTGTGTGTGTGTGTGTGTGTGTGTGTGTGTGTGTGTTTCCCTATATTCACTTTCTCTGATTTCTGTCACTGGCCCCATTCCAGAAGTTAACCGTCAGAAGCTGTGTGGCTTCTAAAGGGGGGGAAAGATACGTAAATCACCTAATTACTCAAGATGTAACATGTTAAATGTTACTTCACCCTTATATGAACAATAGACAATTGCCCTTTACAATCAAAGTTTCATCTACCTGTTCAATATGTTTTCCTGTAGTTTGATAGTAAAATAAATGAGTAACATTAACCAGCCTTCAGGCTTGAATCCAATACGTCATTTCCTGGAAGTAAGCCTCACTGAACACAATAGGATATAGTAATGAGTGGCCAAACATAGGACTGTGTTTCATGAGCCAACTAGTAGTTTGTGATTTTTAACACTCATTTTTTTTCGCCTGACTCTTTTTGTCTGGAATGCAAAAACATACACATGCATTGAAAATAAAATAAAATAATACTGTCAGTCACTGGTATGTCAAAATGTGTCTCCGCTGCCCCTCCCATAACTCCATCTTGTATAATGAGGGCAACTGTATCAAATTCTTCTATATTGATGTCTACTTGGTAACATCTTTGGACATCCAAATGTGTGAGAATAGGCTCTCGGCTTTGACACTGAGGGTCATTAATAACTGTGTGTCAAAGGGAGGTTGAACAGATATAGCTTTCCACATAAAAGTTAAGTTCTGATGGGAGAAGCTGTAAACTATACAAATTCTCCCTGCTGTTAAAGGCATAAGCATGAAGTTGAGACAGAACTGGGTGCTTTTGTTGATTTAGGTAAGATCTCAGATCCTGCTTCACCAAGCATAGAGTTACCCTTTATGCTCAACTTGGGGCTGCCTCAAAAAACAGTTTACCTGTGTTACTTTCTCCTGACATCACCCTTGTCCTGACAACATCGTGCTGTGCCTTTCTCTGTCCTAGCTCCACATCACTGACTATGGCCAGCAGAGCTGGAACAGTACGTACAATGTGATCATTTTACAATGAGAGAAAAGTGACCCTACACATCATGGAAGAAGAATCCATTTTCAGTGGCATTCTCATATTAACCATAGCATATAACTCTGCACTAAGATCCTTTCATTTCCTGAGATGCTCAGTTTTTTGGCTACTCTGACAATGCATTGTGATGTTTGGCATGCCTATTCATTTGCTCGTTGCACACAAATCTGTCATAATTAGCCAGCCGGGGTTAAAAGAAGAAGCTATGTCCCTTTACCCATAAAAATGGAGCAACCTGTTCTCTGCATTCAACTTAAGTGGAAGTATAGTTCACGATAGCCAACCCTTCCACCTTCCAAGATAATCCAGCCAATGTGAGTTTACAGATGATGCAGCAGGTGAAGAATGGGGTCAGGGTTCTTTCTGCCTGCACAGGAAGGACAGTATTTGCAGTTTCCTCTTTCCACACCAATCCAACTGGAAACTAAGCATAGACCCTGAGATCCCGGCTCCAAATCTTCCTTTTTGCTTCATCACTGGTGAAGAACAGTAGATCAAGAACAGCCATTGGCAATCACTCCTGCTAAGGTGAAGTCTATCAATTGCTCAACTGCCTGGTTTTAAAGTTGAGAAATGTACACTGTCCCTAACAAAGCACTGGCTGCTGTTGTCCAAGCTCAATCCATTGATAACACGATGGGTGGTTTGATGTCAGTTTTTCAGGAAGCTGATGCAATGCTTCAGAATTAAAAGAGCAGCCTGAGGGTCCATGAAAACGTTTCCTTCTCCAGCTTTCCGAATGAAAAGAGAGATCTGCTTTTCCCTCTGATTTCCTTTCAACTGTGATCTTTTTCCTTCACCCTACTTCACCTTTCTGGCACTATGGTATCTCTAGCCATCTTCATACAAACTCACTGGGTTGTTTAAAGGGGGGGGGACAGAAAACCCCGCTCAGGCAACAAGAGTCATGCTAATACCATTTCAAAACCATGTAATGACATGCCTTGCACCCAGTGCCCGGTGTATTCGTTTTAGCCTAGCCACTTGGCTGACATGTCAAAACATTATGATTTATACAGAAGTCTGAACAGGGGAGCCCAAGGGCCTAATTCACCAAGGCATTACTACACTGCTGTACTGGCGCAACTGCATTTGGCACGAGGCAATGGAAAATGAGAGCATTTATGCCTTTTGTGTGGCATGTACAAGCCTATCTCAGTGTTAGCTAGCATAACTGAACAGACTGGCACTTCTCTGGAATTGTACCCACAATGTAAAGTGGCTTGATCCCAGAGGTATTTTCTGCAGAAGTTACTGCACTTTCCAGAAATAGTTGTAGACATTCAGCAAAAGGGCAAGCTTTTAAAGTACCCCACACAGCAGATATATTTTCTGAATGTATTTTTCTGTTATTGGTAGTCTGCTGAGGATTTTCACACATTCCATTAAGGAAGGAGTAAGTGACTGGGTCTTGAGGGGGGGCATCAACTAATCCTGCTACTTAATGTGTATTTAGTACCAGCCACATGGCAAGACCTGTGCCAAAGACAGAGGAGGCACTATTCTGCCCAGTAATCAAACAATGATATTCAGAAGCTGCTTACTTTTGAAAGGGCTATAGCTCAGTGGGAGAACATCTGCTTTGCATGAAGAAGGTCCCAGGTTCCATTCCAAGCATCTCCAGGTAGAGCTGGTAATGTCCTCTGTCTGAAGCCACTGCCAGTCACTGTAGACAACAGTGAGCAAGATAGACTGGTGGCCAGACTTAGCGTAAGGCAGCACCTGTTTCATTTTGAAGGGATTTACCAAGAGAAATGTGGTTTAAATGGCAGAACTGGGAAACCTATGGTGATCCATAGGGATAGTGTTCAGATCAATGGAAGGAATAGTACCACTCTATTCTGCCTTGGTCGGAACCCACCTGGAACACTGTGTCCACTTTTGGGCATCACAGTTTAAGAAGGATATTGACAAGCTGGAATGTGTACAGAGGAGGGTACCCAAGATGATCAAGGGTCTGGAAACCAAGCCTTAGGAGGAACAGTTGAGGGAGTTGGGTATGTTTGGCCTGAATAAGAGCAGATGGAGAGGAGATATGATAGCCATCTTCAAATATATCAAGGGCTGTTACATGGAAGATGGAGCATGCCTGTTTTGTCCTGCTCCAGAGGCTAGGACCCAAACCAATAGAGTCATTGTTGCAAGAAAGGAGATTCCAACTAAATATCAGGAAGAACTTTCTGACAGTCAGAGCTGTTCAACAGTGGACTGTCATGGAAGGTAGTGATCTCTCCTTCATTGAAGGTCTTTAAACAGAAGTTGGATGGCCATATGTCAGGGATTCTTTAGCTGTGATTCCTGCATGGCAAGGAGACTAGATGACCCGTAGGGTCATTTTCCAAGGGAAAATTCACCTATGTTTCATTTACATCTTGTCGTCCTCCTGAAGTTATATGGTTCTATAATTCCAGATGTTGTTGGACTACCAGCATGACTGGTGGTCATGGATTATGGGAATTGTTGACTAACATCTGGAGGGCCATACGTTTCCTAGCCCTAGTGTAAAACAAGAGAGAAAATGGTGAAGAACGTGAACCTAGCTTGAGCATGAAATTCTAAGTTTGGAGCAGAACACACACAAGGATGAAGCAATGGAGAAGCAGGGAAGCTGCTGCCAAAGAAGCAGATTTCAAACTGAGATTTCAGGGGTGAGAGAGGTGATCCAACACCCCAAAGTAATGTTGGGCTGCATGTGTATGCATATTTACTTGGGAGTAAACATGCTTAGAACCGGGCTTTATACTTGCACACCATCTCGATCCTGCCAATTGAACTGAATAGACCATAGCTTCTGTGTGTTTTTAAAGTATTTTTAAAAAAACCCTATGCACTTTGCTATAAAGAAAACACACTGACGATTTTTCAGCATAGGTGTTCTTAAAGAAAAAAAAAATCAATGTAAACCACTCATGGATAAACACCAGTCTTGGAGCCTGTTAACAGTTGAATTGCTACATGAAAGCAGATAACTTTACTTCTGCACTTGTTTTGGCATCTCCCAGATAAAGAAGTTATGCAGCTTGACAAAGCACTTTGCTCTTACAAGTCTTAACAGAACCACAGAGATTCCCCCCCCCCCCATGTCTTCATTCCAACACCTGTTGCAGAGAAGGCTGGGGTGGTCTCAATGCAACTTCCCTCCACACTTCATGCTATATATACACCCGTTTTATAGCCCTCAGTCTACTGGTACATTTTGTAGTACAGCTGAGTAGGAAAATATAGGTTTCAAGTGCACTCAGAAGTGCAAATATCCCCCCCCCCCGAATGAATTTTAAATGTTTAAACAGGATGAATCTGTGCTTGGGTTGCTCAAATCCTTTCCATGCCTATAGGTTTGTTGGTGGTTCACAGAATCATAGAATTGGGAGGGACCCGGAAGGGTCATCTAGTCCAACTCCCTGCAATAGGTGAAGCTGTTGACCCAAAAAAGCAGCAGCAAATGAGACTGGTACTGTGTATGACCACAGCAAATAAGTTTACTGGACAAGCAAGAAGATACCACATGGTACATCAAGCTACTCCAAACTAAAGCACGAACCTTTGAATATTCTATGCTGGCTAAGATGAAACAGGAATGATATCTTTCAACTGAAGCTGAAGAAAGTGGCTGTCTTAGCCATTCCTTTAGGAAAGGGGAGCTTGAATGTGCTGGGATCATATTCTTGCCCGTCCTTTGTGCATTCCTCAGTCACTGTCAGCTAATCGAAAATGAGCACAGAATTAAATATGTGCAGCCAAATAATTTCCATTTACGGGAGTGGCTCAATTTCCTCTAGAAGGGAAATGTGCAACATTGCACTGAGAAATTGGGAAAAGTCCCATGCAGCTTCATCCATTGCATATTTACTCAGACGCAAGTCCAACTGAGGTCAACACAACTTACTTCTGAGTAATCAGCGTGCAAATGGTTGCAGCCCTTTTGTGAATTCTGCATATCTCAATTACTGTCTTCCTGTTTTGTGTCTGAGTTGTGTATATGTTTTGTCTTACAAAATGTCCCTGATCCAACTAAAAATCAGTGCACAATTACAGCAATGGGTCTTAAACAGAACTAATTTTAGTTGGATCAGGGCCACGGCACCTCATTGCCAGTTCTTCAACAGCAAACACAAAATATTTCCTTAATCTATTAAGCATCTCGGCTCAACTCCTCTTCACTTCCAAAAATAGCAAGCCCCACATGACAAGCCAAAGCCTCTCTCGTTAGTGTCTAAAAAAACTGGACTGTTTATCTTGGAATAACTTCCCCTCTACCCTCTGCCCTTTGCCCCTCATAATGAACAGTTTGTCCTTAGCATTTTCATTATCCCACATCTGGGAAGCAGCCTCGTTTTTTGAAAGAATTAATTTTCCCTTTGTTGGGATGCAAGGCACTCCAGAGAAAGGTGAGGAAGTACAGTGAAATCTAAACTTATCCCTTACTGAACCTACTTAAATTAGCCCCACTAGTAGGCAGGAATTCTAAGACATTTTCTAGGCTCCCTCTGACAAGAGATTCTTCTTCCTCTGTTCTTCACAGCTATCCCAGTGGGAGGAGTTGAAACCTGACCCAAGTCCTCAGCTCCTAGAAGGGATTGGATCCTCCTTGCGAAGAGCAAGGAATAAGTCTCTTGGCCAAACAGGCAGAGTTTGTAAAAGAACTTCAGCAAATCAGGAGTGATTGGATGAAAAGGAAACCCCTGACCCTCCCCTCCTGCACCTGACGAGTGGGTATTTACAGCACTTTGCAAAGAGCCCTGCACTACACAATTTTACTGCATGGGGTGAGCAGAGAGGACAATGCTGTAGAGGACCAATGTGCAAGCAGTGATTCTGTCTGCTGCTGCTGCCCAAAAGCTGGGGACCGTTATTCTGAAGCTGAAAGGAGGTTTCGGGAAGAAGGCAGCCCTGCATTTCAAGATGCCACGATCCTTCTTGGTCAAGAAACATTTCAACTCTTCCAAAAAGCCAAACTATGGTGAACTGGATACTCACACAGGTAATCCAGGGCTGAAAGCTGTATTCTAACTGCTCTGATTGTTGCTGCTGAAGCGGGACTTTTCATAGCCTGGTGCAAACTTTTAACAAACTTTTTTTACAGATCTCTCTCTCTCCTTCCCCTCTTCTTCCCCCCTAAAAAATGTCAGTGCCAACAGAATTAAAACTTCAACTTAGGAGTTTGCTTCATTGCTGAAAATTTTTCTCTCTCTCTGTTGCAAAATGAGTGACTTGGAAATGTAAGAGAATGATGTGGATTTTACTGCTGGATTTCCTCTGGCTGCAGCAGAGGCTTGGGGAGGAAAGCTGTTACTTTGAGCAGACCTCCCAACTTATGTAAAGTTTTATCTAAAGTTACAGAACGTTACATTCATTCTGTGTGTTTCATTGGAGTAGACTAGTGTCAGTAGGATTTCATCATTTCCAGTCTCCATGAGTATTGGATATATTGTACTGCTATTATAAAGAGAAAAATCTCTGTTGTCTTAAAACGATTCTCTTTTTTTCTTTTCTTCCAGTGATCATTTCCCCATACCTTTATGAGAGCTACCCCATGCCTATCATTCCACAGCCTGAGATCCTGAGCTCAGTTGCTTACAACCCCATCACAGTGTGGACTACAACTGGGCTGCTGCCTTCCCCTTTACCCAGTGACCTCTCACCTCTCTCCGGATACCCTTCGTCTTTGGGAAGAGTCAGCCCACCTCCACATTCTGACACTTCATCCAAGGATCACAGTGGCTCGGAGAGTCCCATTAGTGATGAAGAAGAGAGGATCCAGTCCAAACTTTCCGACCCTCATGCAACTGAAGCAGAGAAATTTCAATGCAGCTTATGCAATAAGACCTATTCAACTTTCTCTGGACTGGCGAAGCATAAGCAGTTGCACTGTGATGCCCAGTCTAGGAAATCTTTCAGCTGTAAATACTGTGACAAGGAATACGTGAGCCTAGGAGCTCTTAAGATGCACATCAGGACCCACACACTACCTTGTGTCTGCAAGATCTGTGGCAAGGCTTTCTCTAGACCATGGTTACTTCAAGGACACATCAGAACACATACCGGTAAGAGGGGAAATGTGATTGTGCATAGCATGTATTGCTGCAGTAGCATGTATTGCTGCAACAATTCCATTTTTTAAAAATCCATAGGGCTTTATGGTCAATTTCATGTTTTCCAGTTATACTGTTCACTCTGCTAAATGTTCACCAGACTTCTTTTCTTTTTAAATCATTTATGAGTGGGTCAGCTTATGTACTGGTGTAACACTTTTTCACTTTAGAGAACTTAAAGTTTGCTTCGGCAAGCTGTCACAAGACAGGGATCCATTTGACCCTAAGAATTCCATGCTTCAACATGAGTGTTGGAACACGCTTTTGGAAGGAATGCAGGTGCAAGGTAGACAGATCAGACAGCAAACAAGAGAGAAGGAAGTATGCAGAAATACCAGGTTCCCTATGCAATAATCTGCAGTCAAGCATTATATCCAAGCAATGCACACAGCAAACCCCCTTAGTCAGCATATAGGCACAGAATTTTACACTCTAATCAAATGTGCAGTTCTTGGAAATGAGTTCCACAGAAAGCAATAAGTCTTACATGTAAGAAAGATGTGTACTGTAGAAAGTCATTTAGAAGATCTGGCATCTCAGTGCTAAACACAAAGGACCTGATCCCATGAAGTAAATCCCACAGAAATAAATGGGAATTAAGGATTGTATTTTAAATAGAAGTTCCATTCCACTGACAGTGCAACTGGATTCCAGATTAATGGGTTTGAAGGCATAGACGAATCTGCAAACTGCAATCCAAAGCTGGAATTTACAGTTACCTAGGAGTAAGTCCCATTGAACTTAATACAAGATGAATGTCACTGTGAGCAACAAAAGTTAACCTTAAGACAAATTACACTCTAATTCAAACACTTATCATAGAAAGAATTTCTGATTTTCTTCAATGGTACTAAACACCTTAAAGTTGCAGTCCTGTGCTTCGTTCAGTAGGGGGAAGCTCCACTGAGGACAGTCAGCCTAATTTCCAAAGAGAATTTGGCTGCATAGCCTTTAAACCCCACTAAACTCAGCTGCACTGACTTCTGTGAACAATGCCTAGGGCCAGAGTGTAAGTCAAAAATGTTCACAGACTTGAGTAGCTTGTGCATTAATTGCAAGCTTTTATTGATCATGTGCAAGTGAGTCCTCTTGCTACTCCTTGTCCTGCCTCTGTTCCAAGGAAGCAGAGTGCAATGCTGAAGCATTCAATCTGATGGGAATTCTGCCATTCACACCAATGGCATGTAAACTACAGCCTTGGGCAGCAGTAGGCGTTGCACAGGATACAGTAAATGAATGGAAGGAACATATGAAAATGCTGGGTGGAGCCCAGCCTGCAGGCACTGGCTGCACCTGCTGAAGCAGAAAGTGTCAGTGGCTTGTCATTCAATGCACCATGAATCCTGCAAACTCTGAAAAGTATGAAATAATGAATGGACAGCCTGCAGTGTAATGAATGGACCCTTTAATAATATATAGAACCCAAACACCCATTTTCACAGGCACGATGTTTTTTTTATTCCTCTGCAAAACTACTTGTCCCATTTATACAGAAAGTTCCTTACTTGAGCTTTAAAACGATTAAACCTCTTTTGTGTATTTCTTTCCAGGAGAGAAGCCTTTTTCGTGCCCTCATTGCAACAGAGCATTTGCAGACAGGTCAAATTTGAGGGCCCACTTGCAGACCCATTCGGATGTGAAGAAATACCAATGCAAAAACTGTTCAAAAACTTTCTCCCGGATGTCTCTTCTGCACAAACATGAGGAATCTGGCTGCTGTGTAGCTCACTGAATTTGCCTGGGCTCTGAACATTTCTCTACTCCTTTTCAACAGAACAGGAGGAACCCTCAGCCCTGGAGGCAGTTTATATTTTACTTCCCAACTCAACAACTCCACTGGAAGATGCAAATAACATCAAATTGCTTTTTAGTTCAATTGTTAAGCTTGACAATTGTGTGATACAAAGGAAATCAAAAGAACTTAAATACGGGAAGATGGAAAAGCCAAATGGACAACTTTTTTTAAAAAAAACCTAAAATTTACATTCCAAAACTAAGTTTTGCCAGATACCAAATATCACAGGTGCTTTCCAGTGTCTTCTATATCAAGTCATTATGTGGTGAATAGGACAGGTTGCTGGTATTTCTTAAATAGTGTGCTTCTTGATCAGCACCCTGAATTGTCTTCAGATGTCATCATTAGAAGAGAACAAGAATGTATGTCCAGTTGTCTTAACAGTATGTGCCTTAGTAAAACTGTCACTGCAGACATTCCTAGGCGCATGCTTGATACACACTTCTTTTTAAAAAAAACTATTGTGATTGTTAACTTGTGATGTTGTTGTTTTTATAAAAACAAATGGGAATAAGTGCAAGCATGAGGGTTAATGGGATTTTGACAATGGATTTCTTAAGAGCTTTTTTTCCTAAATGCACAAAGGAAATGCAATAGCCTGAGCAATACCCTCCAGTGCCTTTTTTTAAAAAAAAAAGAAAATGAATACCTTTGTTTATTGACATAATGTAAATAGTTTTATTTTTATATGGCTGAATGTGTTCTGAATCAAAATATTATCTATAGCCACGCCTATAGATATCTTGAAGAAAGTATGGATACAAATTGTATTGTTTTCTAGAAATAATTTTTGTATAAATAAACATTTTTAAGAAATACCTGTGCAATTTCTCCTCCATTAGGAGACCCAGAGTCCCATCTGCACCCACTTCTCCCCACACACCCCAACACACACATGGACTCTGGTGCTGATTGTCAGTAGGAAAGCATGACAAGTCGGGGTGGGATCTCTGTGTACAGGCTGGAGTCAGTGTGAACTAGGTCTGTAGGTCTTAATCTCTATGGCTAAGGGCTGATCAAAGAACAGTCTTCAAGACCCTGATAAAAATCCCATCTCTGAAGTTTAACAGAGTCATGCTAGTAACCAGTGAGGATACGATCTTAGAAACGAAATCTTGCACCTCTGGGTTTCCTGGAGAAAATGCAGTAAAATATGAAAATGCAGTAAACTATGTAAGTGCCAATCTTGAAATCCGTTCCTCATAATTGTAGCAAACTGATATGAAGTCCTTTGTTAAAAGGACTTTGTTATCTTGATTACAAAACATATGGTTGAATAATTAAGGATAAATAAAAGTATGCCATCTGACTGTACATGGTCTCACTACACACCAAGCGGTCAAAGGACATAACAAGCCAATCTGATGGCTCCAAATGAACTGTGGATGTAAATGCACATCCAGAAGCACAATTGCATTGACTGATGTGCTTCTGCTTTCTGCACTTGGGATTTCCCTTGCTATATCAAAGCTCAATGGCCCTGAAACTAATTTCTTACTGCGAATGCTTGATTTCATATTAATCAGCAACACCTCCAACCCTTTTTAAAAAGCTTATTTCCAAATTTTTAAGTGTTCTTTCCAAGCAATAAATGCGAAAATTTAAATCAAAATATGGTCGTTGTGATCATCGCTTTGTTAGGCACCTTCCTGAAAGGGACAGTATTTTTGTAGCCCAATGTGCCTGAAATATGGCAGATAAGCAATTTAAGTGGGATTACAATGGACGCCCAGTAAGATGGAACTGCTCAGTTTCCCCACCAAAAAATGCTGTTGTAGCAATGATGTAATCACATCTTTAGAGGTGATGACATCCCTCACATCTGCAGATATCTATAGGATCAGGGAGCATGATTACTTTGAATGCAGGTTCAGTCTGAAGATGATTGAAAGCACCCTCCTCTAACTTGTACCTTTTATGCTTGAGACACTCCATGGCCATCAAAAGCATTCTGATTGCAACATGAACAATAATAACAACAATAATTTCCATTGTAGTGGCTGGCCTTCCAGATTAAATCATCAGAAAAAATGTAGTGTGGTTCAGCAAAAATAAAGGACCTTTTAAGTCTTGTTGATTCCAAGCCAAGAGATTTAAACGTGTTTAATTCTCCCATTTTAACCATTAGGACTTTAACCTTAGGCACTGTATTTCATTCCCTAGGTGCAAATACATGCATCTTTTCGGCGACCCTGTGATCCATATAACAGCCCTGCATATCCCTATATTACATACAGAGAGCTGAGCCTGAAAGGTAACCAGATTGCCTGGGACCATGTAGATCTCAAAGTTGAACTGGGGACCATCCATCTCATACCTCATGCACTTAGCAGTTCTGCTGTACCTCTGGTAGAGCTGCCATCATTTCCAGTCATTTCCAGGCCACAAGTTCCAGCAGGCACACAATACTAGCAGTGGCTCCTGCTACTTCAGCACAAGGAAGTGGGTGGCGGAACTTGCTCAAAGGTCCAAGGGGTTCCCAGGCTCAGTCTATGAGCCAGCATTTCAGCAGAGAACTAGCCAGAGACACTAAACCACAAAGCAGTTGTAAACACTGGATTTTTTTAATTTTATTTTTTAGTGGCTTGACTTATGTTTTCCAGGATTTGACTCTGTCATTGTGGCATGGTGAATGACACAAGCAAACCCTGTATCAGAAGTGTGAATAACGCTTTTACGTGCCCTGGATCAAATTACATAGGCATGAGTCAGGCCCGCAGCATCTGCTTTGCAGTCCTAAGAAGAGTTAAAAAGTAGGTCAGTAAAGAAAGCAGATGAGACTGAACACAAAGCATCTGGTTTCTTCCATGAGATGTCATTTCATTACCATTGTGTTTCAGATCGCATGGTCTTTGTAAGAGGACTCTGCAGCAGGCGGTTGCAACACCCCCATCTGTTACTATGTACATTAGCAGGTAAGGACAGAAGCAGGATTTTAGTTTTGATCCACAACAAATAAGAATGCAGTACTTACCATTCCAAACAGCGCATCGTAGCTCCGAGAAATAGTGGTTGAAGCCCACAAGCCATTTTCATGGGCGTGTGAACCAATTTCATCCCACTGCTGTCAGTGAATCCATGACAGTTCAATATGGCTTCACTTGTCCCATAACAATGTTTATTTTCATAAAAATTAATTTAAATATCCCACCAGCAGGAAAGTTGCAACTAGGGTATGGTCTGAGAGCACATGAATCCATTGCCTTGCTGAAGCTAAGCTGGTCTGGGCTGGTTAGTTACCTGGATGACAGACCACCTCTGAACCACATGTAAGTTGCCTTGGGTTTGATGATGGAAGAAAGGTAGGATATACAGCAAATGTAAGAAAATAAATAAAATCAATTAAATACTGTTTGGTATTTCTTGGAGAGCTTCTTCATATGATTTAATTCCACCCCAGTACAAGAAGTAGTGTCCATGAGTGTAGAACGTCTATTTTCCAGAATTATTTTTAATATCATCTAAGTTTGCCTGGCACTTCGCAGCCAATCAATCATCCACATTAGTCGAGTCTTCCAATATTTGACATTGTTAAGTGTGACGTGCAGTTAATAAATTGCAAACTAAACAAACACTGATGTTCTAGTTTTATTGTTTGTTAAATAAAATCCTCTCACTGGATTTTGGACAATGTTGTCATTCAGCCCAGCAAGGGTGGAATGAAGCAGCAGATTATTAAAACAGCAAATACCCACGAGCAATATGAATTTAGAAGTGTTGCTAGCATTTGATCCCAAAGGTGAAGAACAGGGAATGCCTTTTATCAGGCCAACTTCTGTTCTGAATTCTTCATTCATCAAGAAGAATGGAAAGCAATTAATTCTGAACCATAAAGAGAACAAGTCTGCCTACAATTACCATGCTGTTACAATTCTAATCAAAAAATACTGTTACCTCAAATACACATAATATACATTGTTGGTTATTATTAAAATAAAAATCAGTGTGAAGCTACCCAAATTGCTTTAGAAATGTTAGGTACTTTGTTGAGATGCTCTACATGTTGGAGCTAATCACTTTGAAGTTCTAAGGTTTCCAATCAGGTTTCTGTTTGTGTCAGCTTTTCCTTTCCATGACAGTTTCTAAACAGTAAACCTGTGTGAAAGTTACAGCATCGACAGATGCTCAATGTAGCATTGTTTCCTATCTGCTTTGGAGACATTTTGGTTTGCTTCAGTTCACCTGACTTTGCAAAGGCAATTTCCTGCTGCAGTTTGCATGAACTTCCAATAAGTTTTTTCTGCCACAGAAAACAGGGGGAAGATGAATGGGCGTGAAGGGGTGGCAGAAAGGATGGTTCACTGTTTTAGCGACATTTCAGCTACAACAATAGAACCACATCCATTTAAAATTAGCCACTAACCTAAAATAGTTAACATACTCTTTAAAAAGTATGCCTACCAATTCCCATGTGACCATTAGTTTCCTGTATTTTCAAAGGTTGGGTACATAACATTTTAAAAGAATATATATGAATGTAGCAGGTGTAGGGACTCCCCATATCACACCCCATCTCTCTAGGCCACATTTATCCAGTCTGGCTTTCCACCCTCCTGAAGTACTTTTGCATCCATCTGGTACTTTAGCACAGAACAGAGCCAAACTTGCTGCCACTTTGTCCCTCCCCACTTATCTTCTGTAAGCATCAGCAATGCAACTGACCAGGGGTCAGGCTGTGCCCCACCATGCCACCCGCTGCTGTGTTATGTGTCAAAATTGCCAGCACCTTGGAAGACACAAGAACTTCCCACGCTGGAGGAATGGCAGATGAAACTTATGGACTATATGGAATTGGCGGAAATGACTGGTAGAATCCGTGACCAGGGAGAAGAGTCGATGGAGGAAGACTGGAAGAAATTTAAAGACTATCTTCAGAAACACTGCAAAATTAAGGAATGTTAGAGTGATGTTGGACTGAAAATAAGCGGTTTCCAGCTGTACAGGTTAAAGCTAATGATAGACTAAGATTAAAGATTAAGATTAAAGATGTTTAAAGAAATGGAAATTTGATATTAAGAGGAAAAATTTTAACGTTATATGATACTAAGACTAAAGATTAGGTTTAAAGAAGTTGAAGTTATATATTTTAATATCTTAGTAAAGCTAAAGATTGGGATTAAAAAAGTGGAAAAGAAATTGCTGGACAAACAATTCGGATTGGAATACAAAAGAGGGAGGTATGAGGAAGTCCAGAAAATAAGTAACTAAAAAACGGATATGGAAAAGAGATATTGTTTTTAATTGTTATGTTTCTTGTTTCTTTATTGTTGAATTTTGTTTTGTTTTTGGTGTGTGTTTTTGTTATATGTATTGTGTATGCTTTTCTTTTTTTTCTTTGTTGTTTAAAACTGTAATAAAAATTATTTAAAAAAAAAAAATTGCCAGCACCAATCAGATGGAGTGTTATAGCAGGACAAGGTACACAAGTGGTAGGCAGCTGTCCTTCTGCTACTTGAAGCCCATGACCAAACTGAGAAAATGTTTGAATTGATCTTCAAGCCCCTTGAAAAAGCTTTCAGGAATAAGATGACATTAAGTTAATACAATGGCAGTGTTCTGTACACTTTGAAGAATATATTTCCCTCAACGTCAGTCAACTGGAGACCTTGTAAACCGAGTTCTCAGGCAAGAATCCTGGAAGATCAGCTCTGGCACAGAAATTTCAGCAACCTGTTTAAAGCACTCATGACTTGAAGGACGCCAAGCCGCCCGTATTCCTAAAAGCTGCAGTGCATGACAAGCTCTGCAGTAGCAAAAGACTATCATGCTGTCTGGATGCTTCCATAAAGTTGTGGCAAAAGAGGTCAGCAAGGTAGTTGCAGAAAGTGGCAGGAGCTGTTGGAACAAGAGCTTCCCTCCTCCACTCCAAGAACAATTACAGTGGTGCCTCGGGTTACAAACACCTTGGGTTACAGACTCCGCTAACCCGGAAGTAGTACCT